GCAGGGGCCAGAGTGGCCTCAGCCTCTGTGAGATGCCTAAAAGCACCGACTCCTCTGGGGCTCACTAGCATTGGGCCGTTTCACACTCTGCCCCGGCCAGAAGCTCCCTCACCCCCAGCGATGTGCAGTTCCTGCAGGCTCACTCAGTTTCCAGAACTTTAATTATGGGAAAGTTCTCCCTGGTCCCGCCCCCAAATCTGCCATGAACGTTGACAGCTGAGTTGCTGCCCCATGCATGCTTTGGCTGAGAGCAGAGGGTGCCCCGTCCTCATTGAGCTGCTGACGTGGGGAGGGGTGGGGCCTAGGGGTGCCATCCATGGCCAGTCATTGAGGCAGAGGAGCCTCTGGAGGGGGCAGGTCCCAGGGAAGCCCTGGACTCCTAGAGGGGAGGCCAGGTGGGGTCCCTGGTGACCAGGACAGACTGTGGTGTTTTTTAACGTAAGGGAGATATGCTACGTGACAGACCCCAGGGGTGCTGCGCACCGCCTGGTGGCAGGCGGCCGTGGTGGGCGCTCACGCCCCTGCCACGTGCCCATCATGTGCCCGCCCTCAGTGGGAGGGGCTCCGAGGATGACTTTTAAAAATGCAGAGAAAGGCTCCATTCTTCCCAGGACCTCAGCCCAACCCTGGCCCAGGGAGGCAGGAGACAGAGGCCAGGAGGGGGCCAGAGGTGTTGAAATGTCCTGGGGACCTGAGCAGCCACCAGGGAAGAGGCAGGGAGGGAGCTGAGGACCAGGCTTGTCCACACTGGTTGTGAGATGCCTTGAGCCCAGAGGGTTGATGCCAGGAGGTGTCTGGACTGGCTGGGCCATGCCTGGACTGACCTGTCCAGCCAGGGAGAGGGTGAGTGTGAGGGCAGATCTGGGGGTGCCCAGATGGACGGAGGCAGGCATGGGGGATACCCAAGGCCCCCTGGCAGCACCATGAGCTAAGCAGGACACCTGGAGGGGGAGACCTGTGGGGACCTGGGGGCCTCCAGTGACCCCTTCCTGCTTCCTGAACAGGACTATGCCTGTGCAGGGATCCCAGAGAAGACTCCTGGGGTCCCTGAACTCCACCCCCACAGCCACCCCCCACCTGGGGCTGGCTGCCAACCAGACAGGAGCCCGGTGCCTGGAGGTGCCCATCCCTGGCGGGCTCTTCCTCAGCTTGGGGCTGGTGAGCTTGGTGGAGAATGTGCTGGTGGTGACCGCCATTGCCAAGAACCGGAACCTCCACTCACCCATGTACTGCTTCATCTGCTGCCTGGCCCTGTCAGACCTGCTGGTGAGCGGGAGCAACATGCTGGAGACGGCCGTCACCCTCCTGCTGGAGGCCGGTGCGCTGGCGGCCCGGGCTGCCGTGGTGCAGCAGCTGGACAATGTCATTGACGTGATCACCTGCAGCTCCATGCTGTCCAGCCTCTGCTTCCTGGGCGCCATTGCCGTGGACCGCTACATCTCCATCTTCTACGCGCTGCGCTACCACAGCATCGTGACGTTGCCGCGGGCACGGCGAGCCGTCGCGGCCATCTGGGTGGCCAGTGTCCTCTTCAGCACGCTCTTCATTGCCTACTACGACCACGCGGCCGTCCTGCTGTGCCTTGTGATCTTCTTCCTGGCCATGCTGGTGCTCATGGCTGTGCTGTACGTCCACATGCTGGCCCGAGCCTGCCAGCACGCCCAGGGCATTGCCCGGCTCCACAAGAGGCAGCGTCTGGCCCACCAGGGCTTTGGCCTCAAAGGCGCTGCCACCCTCACCATCCTGCTGGGCATTTTCTTCCTCTGCTGGGGCCCCTTCTTCCTGCATCTCACACTCATCGTCCTCTGCCCCCAGCACCCCACCTGCAGCTGCATCTTCAAGAACTTCAACCTCTTTCTTGCCCTCATCATCTGCAATGCCATCATTGACCCCCTCATCTACGCCTTCCGCAGCCAGGAGCTCCGCAGGACGCTCAAGGAGGTGCTGCTGTGCTCCTGGTGAGCGCGGCACGGGCAGCTTTCAGCGTGCTGGGCAGAGGGAGGTGGTGATATTGTGTGGCCTGGTTTCTGTGTGACCCTGGGCAGTCCCTTACCTCCCTGGTCCCCATTTGTCAAAGAGGATGGACTGACCTCTGAAGGTGTTGAAGCACAGACCCTTCTGGGACCAGGGAGAGGGGTCCCTGCAAAACTCCAGGCAGGACTTCTCACCAGCAGTCGTGGGTAACGGAGGAGGACATGGGGAGGTTGTGAGGCCTCAGGCTCTGGGCACCAGGGGCCGACCTCAGGCTCCTGAAGAGACATTCTCCGCCCACTCCCGGGGCACTCCACCTGCTCCAATGGGCATCCACCCCACCCCATCTTTGCTGCCAACTCTCAGGACCTGTGCCCTCGTCAGCTGGGATGTGGAGGCTCTGGGTGGAAGAGTGTGCCAAGAGCTACTCCCACAATAGCCCCAGGAGAAGCGGCTTTGTGACCAGAAGTCTTCAGCTACAGTCATGCAATGGCTTCTGCAAAAGGAAGTGAAACCCCTGCCTCAGGCCAAGGGACCAGGTTTGCAGAAACCTCACAAGTGGTGTGGGGCTGAGCCCTCCTGAGCGCTGGTTCTAAGGCTCAGACTGGGAACTGGGGCCCCAGCCTGCCTTCCTGCAGCAGTCACCCAGGCAGACAGCCCTGGCAAATGCCTGACTCAGTGACCAGTGCCTGGGAGCACGGGGCCAGGAAAGTCTGGTAATAAATGTGACTCAGCATCACCCACCTTAGCCCCTTCCAGAAAGTGCTTCAAGTTTGCGGGTGGAGGGGTAGGGGAGGGGCAGGTGGGCAGGGATAAGAGAGGGAAGAAAGGAGTCCTGGAAAACGTGGCTGCCTCCCCAGGTGAGGAAGCCACAGCCCCAGAGGCCCTGAACGCCTGGGGAGTGCGGAGGTCCCAACCAGGCTTGCGCTGACCCTGCTTCTCAGGTTTCTCTCCGTGCTTACAAACCCCAGCCTAGAGGAACGAGGAGCAGGTGCAGCAGGGCCCCAGGCCCTCCACTCTGACACTGTCCCAGCTGCAGGAGAGGTGGGTGCCCAGCCCTCCATGTGACCACAGGTGACCTCAGCCAGGCACACTCCTTTGCTGGCCCTGGCCCTGAGTCCCTCCAGCCGTGATGAGCCGTGAATGGGACCATCCCTGGTCACTCTGAGATGCCTGGGAGGGGGCTCAGTGCAGGTGGGCTGGGGGCTGGGTCTGCTGTCTGTCCAGCACTGCCATTCTGGGAGTGGGCAGGTGGGGTGGGGGTCGGGGGTGGTCTGTGTTGAGCCAGTCCTGGGAAGTGCTGGATGTGAGGCCTCTGAAGATGAGGATGAGGCAGAGGCCCAGCGGCGGACAAGTCCCCTGGGAATGAACTATGCTGCCTGGTGCTAGGGAGCAGTGGAGCCCCTGGGCCATCCCTCTGCTGAAACCTGGGCATCTCGCTGAAGAGACCAACTCCATTTCCTCTGCAGACGCTGAGCACTCAGTCACCCCCTTTCTGGAACAGGCTCAGTGGAGGCTGCAGGGCTGCCATCAGCCAACTCCTAGGCAGGCCCAGTCAGCAGCCCCCTGGCCAGCCCCACCCCTGCGTCAGCTCCAGCCCTGACTGCCGGCCTCAGAACTGGGAGCTGCTTCCTGGCAGGGCCCGCCTGTGCTGGGAGACCGGACGGTGAGTCAGCCTTCAGCCTGGCACCAGAACTCTCTGAGGATGGAGCAGGGGTTGGCTGGCCTGAGGCTGCAAAACTTCCCTCATGGAGACAGGCAGGCACCCAGATGCTCACCCGGGACTCCCTTGAACAGGGACAAGGAGGAACTCCAGGCAGCTAGACCCCAGCCACAGCCACTTGAGCACACTGTGGGGCAGGGAGGGGCATCTCTTGAGAACAAAAGATCCATTTCTCGACTTTCCAAACTGGAGAGCTTCTTGAGAGAAAAGAGAGAGACAGGGACAAGGCCATGCCACCCACACAGTCCTGTGCACACAGACCGGACACAGGCGTCCACAGGAGGGTTTGCAGCTGCTCATTGTGTGAAGTGAATGCTGATTTGGGGACGGGGGTCGTCTGTGCATTGTGCACTGTCAGACCCTTCCTGAAGGATTTTTGTTACTGAAATATCAGAAGGTCCTTGTTATAAGGTGGTGTCACTGTAATATCTGGCCCAGGAGGAGGTCAGTGCTGTGCGGGCGAGCCCTTCCCTCCCTCCCTTCTTCTCTGACCAGTAGACGCATCTCCAGTTGTTCCCCTGAGGCCCCCCTGCAGCATTCTCCGACATCAGAGAGTGAGTCAGATAGAAGCCGCTGCCCACCCTCCCCCACCCTGGCCGGGTTCTTGCCTGGCTTGTGCGTCCTTGTGACAATTCCTGACACGGATGCGCACCGGGCAGTGGCACGTCCAGGTGCTGTGCGCGGCCGGGCCCACAAAGCTCCTTTGGCCTTTCACGGAGCCCCCTGGGGGAGGGGGCCAGGTGGCCCCCCCACTGCGGAAGCCGGCGACCCACGGAGCTCGCTCTCGGCCGCCGCCACCCCTCTGTGTCCGCGCCCTTCCGAGCTCTGATCGGACGCTTTGTTTCTTCTCAGTGGGTTCAGGGCCTGCGCCAACCTTTACCTACCTCCCCCACCCAAAACCGGCAAAGCTCAGAGCACCTTTTCTGCCAAAAGACAGGGAGCTGGGAAGGTGCGGCTTGGTCCCTAAACCGGCGTGGGGATAAAGACCCTCCTTACAAAGCCGCAGGGTGGGGCTGTCGCAAGGGCGGAACCGACAGGGTAGCCGGGGGCGGGGTTCCCAGGGCCAAGAGGGGCTTCTATTGTCCTCCCTGGAGCCCGGCGCCCCCACAGGCAGCTCCTCTGGGAGGCAGCCCCTCCTTTCGAGTGCGCGGGGGCCCCCAGACCGCGCCCGGCCCTGCGCTGGGGGAGGCTTGGCTGCGGGAGGGGCGCCGCATTGCGCGCGGCGGGCGGGGACGCGCGGTGCGGGGCCTGCGGGCCGGGCGGGATTCTGCGGCGGCGCCTCCCGATTGGCCACCCGCGGTGACATCAGCCGATGCGAAGGGCGGGGCCGCAGCTATAAGATCGCGCGGCCGCGGTCCCCGACCCTCAGCAGCCAGCCCGGCCCGCCCGCGCCCGTCCGCAGCCGCCAGCAAGACGCGCCCAGCATGAGGGAGATCGTGCACATCCAGGCCGGCCAGTGCGGCAACCAGATCGGGGCCAAGGTGAGGCTGCGCGCCCTGGCCTGTCCCGGGCCTCGGGGCGGGAGGAGGGAGGCGCCGTGCCCCGCGGGCCGCACCTCCAGCCGCCCCCGCCCCTGCGAACCTGCAACAAAGGGATGCGCCCAGCGTCGCGCCGGGCGGCCGGGACGCGGGGCCCCCGCCCTGGGACTCTCGCCCGCACCTCTCCTCCCCTGCCCAGGTGACCTCGGGCTGTCGGGGCGCAGCTCACTTCAGTCGCGAAGCCTCAGCCCCCTCCACACCTGCGCCCCCTCCACACCTGCGCCTCCTCCACCAGGCCTCCGCAGGTGCAGCTGGGAGCCCTGTCTGGGCGTGGCCCTCTTTTTAGGGGCCGCAGCATAGCCTTGAGTGAGACGGGTGGGGTAGGCAGATTTGGGTGGGCTGGGGTTCTCCTCACAGCCTTGATTCCCTTGGCCCGAACCCCCCACTGGAGGAACCGAACGTCCCTCGAGAGGCTAGAGCCGCCCCGATGTCCCCAGCCTGCTCCAACAGCCCTCAGCGTCCTAGCCCCACCCTGTCCCTTTGTTGGAGGGATTGGGCCTGGACTCGAGATGACCTTGGTCCAGGACCAGGCTCTCCATCGGCGCAGCCGCTCCTGGGCAACCCCTGCGGGGCTTGACCGCGCCCACCCAGGGTCTACCAGTCTGGGGATTGGATGTGGGAACAAAGCCGGGCTGTGGGGTGTGGAGGCTGCACCGTGGCGCGCCCCTCCCTCCATTGTTAGCCCACCTCGCAGATGTCGGGGCCAGGCAGGAAGGGGCGTTGATGCAGCTCTACAGGGACCCCCGCCTAAATCATTAAGGGGACGTCTTGTCCCCTGGTCCTGGGAGGCTGTCCCTGACCCAAGGTCACACAGCAGGTGCGAGAGAGCTGGGCTGGCCCTTGGTTCTCATCCCCTGCAGGAGCCAACCTGGGGCTCGGGCGGGGCGGGTGGGGGTTCTGCTTGCCAAAGGGTCTCCCCTCCGAACAGTGTTGGAGAACGGGGGATGGGGTGAGGCTGGCTTTGTCAGGACCAAGGCCAGGGACCCAGCTCAGGGCTGGTGCAGCGCTGATTCTGGGAAGGAGGGGGTGGAGGAGACGGTCCTGGAGGGGAAGGGGCCAGAGAAAGGCTTCCTCGGGAGGCTGTTGCCACGGAAACCAGGCAGGAACAAAAAGCTAATTACAACAGGGCCAGCCACGTGGCTGACATGTAAATTGCAACTTTGGCTCTGGGTGGAGGCGCCTCTGAGGGTGGGAGGCCCAGTAATGGGGAGACTCTAATCACCCTAGGAGACAGCTGTGCCTGCCAAGGAGAGCCTGGGGGAGGGGAGGCCTGGGGGACAGTGGCCTCAAATCAAACCAGGACTCCTGGAGCAGCCTCTGACAGCTGCCCTGGCCTGATGGGAGGGGCTGAGGGCTCATTAATGTGGTCACTGGGGCCAAGCCTGCCCTGAGCATCTGCTGCTGGGAGGGTCAGGGGTCGCTGTGGGGAGGGAGGGCAGGCAGCCCTGAGGCCCACCTGGGGTTTCTCCTTCTATGACTGCGATGGGCCCAGAGCTGTGGTCCCACAAGGCACTTATCAGGCAAGAACTGGGACCTAGAAGTCAGTTCCACATGCAGACATCCCCTGAGGCTCCATGGGTGGCAGTGGTAGCCCTTGTCCCCTGGACTGCGTCCTTGGCTGCCTTGTGCTCTGCTTCTCAACACTGGAGCCCTCAGTTTGCCCACTACTTTTATTCCTTTTGAGGTTTTTCTTAATTTATTTTGTTTTAAAAATTAATACCTGACCGGGCACGGTGGATCAGGAATCTCATGTAATCCCAGCACTTTGAGAGACTGAAACTGGAGGATCACTTTAGCAAAGGAGTTCAAGACCAGCCTGGGTAACATGGTGAAACTCCGTTTCAAAAAAAAAAAAATTAGCCTGGCGTGGTGGGCGCGCCTGTAGCCCCATCTACTTGGGAGGCTGAGATGGGACATCGTTTCAGCGTGGGAGGTCGAGGCTGCAATTAGCTATGACCGCACCACTGTACTCCAGACTAGGCGATGAGAGAGACCCTGTCTCAAAATAATAATAATAGTATCTGATTCTTTTTAACAATGCAAACAACAGAGAAGTAAATTTTCTCGGGGCAGGGGGCGGCAAGAGCGTATTCCTTTCCTCTGCTGCCCTTGTGGAATCAATGGGAAGCAGCTGAGTGGTTTGCGTCCAGCCGCACCCTCGCCCTGGAAGGTCTCCAGGGGTCACACGCGAATTCCCCCGGGCCAGGGCCCGTGTAGGGGATTCGCCCCCTGACGGGAAGTTCCTTGGCCGTTCTCGGCCTCCACTCCCACAGCTGGTGGGGGGGCAGCAGCTGAAGGCGCGCAAGGCGGCTGCTCCTCTGTCTGGGGTCCTCGGGTGGTGCCTGGCTGGGCAGGAAGGAAGGTGCCCAGAAAGGTGCCCCTCTGGGCAGAGGGAAGTCGGGGTGACTCGAGGCCGGGAGCAAAGCCGGGTCCCGGGCGGTCACGCGGCAGCGCGGACGACTCACCGCGGTCACCCCTGCACTGGGAGCCGCGCCCGCATCGTCTCGCGGGGATGAGGTAAGCCGGGCGCAGCCAGCCCCGAGGAGCCCCGAGGATGAGAAAACCCGAAGCCCGGACAGCCGAGCGGCCGCCTGCAGTCACCCCAGGGGGGCAGGGGCGGGCCGGGCTGTGCAGAAGCACCTGGGCCCGCGGGACGCAGGACGTTGCCCCGCCGCCGCAGAGCTGAGTCTGGGCCCCCGGGGTCTCCTTTCCTGGGGCCTGTGCTCCTCCCTCCCGGGCACGGGGCGGGGCGGGGCGGGGCGGGGCAGCGCGGGGGGCGGGGGGGGGCCTTTGTCCTCCGCGCGGGCTTCGGCGCCGCCTCCTCGCGGCTGCTGGGCGGGGAGGGGGCGGGGCCTGGCCCTCGCAGCCAATGGGAGGCGGCGTTCCTGCTCGCCCCGCCCCCTCGCCTGAACGCCCCCTTGGAGCCCCGGGCCGGGCGGGAACCGCATTCGGGTCCTGCAGGAGCTTGGAGGCCTGGGTCTCGCAGCCCCTTCTGCGGCGGCCGCCGCTCCCACCTCCGCCGCTGCCACCTGCCTTGGCCGCTGCCCGCAAAGCCCAGCCCCGCTTTCCCCGGGACCCAAGCGCGGCGCGAGGTCAGCACCAAGGACAGCGCCCGGGCCGAGAGGCTGGCCTCGAACGCCGGGTTCTGCGTTTTGTTTTTACGTTTCTGTTTTTGCTTTTTGTTTTTGGTTATGAGACGAGGTCTGGCTCTGTCGCCCGGGCTGGAGTCCAGTGGCGCGATCTCGGCTCACCGCATCCTCGGCCTCCCGAGTGGATGGGACCACAGGCGCGCGCTCACCACCACGCCTGGCCACAATTTTTTTTTTCTTCTTTTTTTTTAGATGGAGTTTCGCTCTTGTTGCCCAGGCTGGAGTGCAGTGGCACGATCTCAGCTCATTGCAACCTCCACCTCCTGGGTTCAAGCGATTCTCCTGCCTCAGCCTCCTGAGTAGCTGGGATTACAGGCGCTCACTACCACGCCACGGCGGCTCCGCTAATTTTTTCTGTATTTTTTAGTATGCTGAGCGGTTTCATCATGTTGGCCAGCTGCTCTCACAACTCCTGACCTCAGGTGATTCACTCTCAGCCTCCCAAGTGCTGATTGCAGGGCTAGCACTATGCCCGGCCGATTTTGCCTTTTTCGTAGTCGATGTTACAACTTAGTTCATAAAATTGGTCCATTTATGTTTCTTTTCTTTTTTTTTTTCTTTGAACGAGAGTCTTGGCCTGTTCTCCCAGGCTGGACGTGCGTGCGATCCACTCACTGCAAGCTCCGCCTCCAGGTTAGTGCATTCCTCCTGCCCTCAGCCCCCAATAGCTGGGACTACACGCACCGCCACCTCGCCCAGCTAGTTTTTTGTATTTTTTAGTAGGAGACGGGTTTCACCGTGTTACGCACGGATGGTCTCGATCATCCTGACCTCGTGATCTGCCCGTCTCGCGCCCCGAAGAGTGCTGGGATTACAGGCTGTGAGCCACCGCGCCCGGCTTCTATGTTTCTTAACATATGATAACAGTAGGCCAGGCTGCCTGCTCACGCCTTGTAATCGCCTGCACTTTGGGAGGCCGAGGTGGCGTGGATTTCTCTTGAGCTCAGGGTCAGACGCAGCCTGTGCAACATGGCGGAGACACGTCCTACAAAAAATAAAAAAAAAAAAATTAAGCTGACATGCTGTGCAACGCGCGGCCTGTGGTCCCAGTTACCTGGGAGGCTGAGTGGGTAGGATCACTGGGGAGGCGGGCAGAGGTTAAAGTGCAGCTGATGATCATGCCCCCGCATCCAGCATGGGCAACAGAGGAAACCTTGTCTCAAAAAAAATAAAAATAAAAAGTGAACATTTTATTGCTTTATTCAAATTACAATTTTAACTACAAATAGCAATGTAATAGATTCCGTTAAAAAAAGTGAAATTGCAGATAAGGTCTAGAAGTGCCCATTTAGCGCCGCTTCTCTCTATCCAATGTGGAACAAGTTTCTTTTTCTATCCTTTTGATCCCTTTGATATTTACAGTGACCTGTGCATATGGTTTTAATAAAACTTTAAATAGTATCTAAAACCTTTTAACAAGAATCAACCAACATGGTTGCTAAATTTTCTTTT